AAGTTCAAAAAATTCTCCTCCCATAAACACAACACTTAACTGAATCTCAACATATTCGAAGATCAACGTGATAACACCATCAACAGCATGAATGTCACATAATGAAACTTGAATAAGAATAGAAACAAATCTATTTAGGTATTGAAAATACTAACTGAATTAATTTTTTTATTAAAAACTGAGTAATGAAAACAAAATAAAAACCTAACTAATCGTTGGAGCTATGAAAACTTGAACAATGAATGGTCATATATATATAAACAAATATAATCGTTTAATATATGTATAATTATCGATATGAATAATGTCCTTTATTAATATGGACATTTATCTTTAACTTATATAAATATTTTACTTTTTATAATCTGATCGACTTACAATTATCATTATAAATATGTAAAATTTATAATTATCTTAATTTAAATTTTATTTTTAAAAACGATTAGGAAAATCTGAGACAGTGTATAAATAAAGAAGCAAATATATAGTATATATAATAGGCAATATTGTGAAATTCCCTATATTGAACCACTAATTGCTAACATATTTATCGTTTTATATATTGTTATATAACCTTATAAATTTCTGGTATATATCGGATATATATTTCAATCATATATAATTAATAACTTGGATATATACAATATATTTAGTAGATATTTACTAACTTGAATAGATACAATAAACAAATGATTTTTTTTTTAGGATTAACTTATATAAGCTAATCAAGATATTTATCTCTATCCTTTTCAGATTTAATAATTAGACCTTAATATTTTTATCCATCGTTAAAATTAATAAGTTTTAAACATGTTTATTTTTTAAGTTACACACTTATTGCATATCAAGAAGATGTAATAAAGATTTCTTAAATATTTTTCAACTTTTCAACTATATTATCAAACAGTTTGATATAAACAACTCAGTAATTATCACTTGTTTATCAAAAGTGAATAATAATATGCAAGTTTCGAAATAATAATTCAGAAATTACTCGTTATAAATTTCTTTAACAATATCAGAATATTAAATTCTTGAGTATAGGGTTTGCTAATGATGTCTAATCTTGAAACTTAATTTAATTAGTAATAAAAAAGGGTAAAAAAAAAAATAAACATTATTTTTACCTAATAAATCTTAGATACATCATAAAACCTAAAAATACAATTATAAGGATGGAAAAAACTTTTTGGATTCGTGGCTTTCTTCTTTTTTTTTGGAAACCCTTGCTTCCACCGATTTTCTTTAGTAATCCAAAAAAACACCCTTGGAATTTCCTCATATTTGTATAGCTTTACTTCAACATCTATTGAATTGGCTTCCATCCAACTTTGAAATTTAGATCCACGATTTGTAGCTAGCAATGTAGAATCTTCTTTGATATCCTCTATAAAAAAATAATATTTTAAAAAACTAAATTAGAAATCCTGCTGAAGAATCAATATATAAATTAAACCCTAAATAATATACCTAACCCAAAAAATGATGTAACCATAGACAACAATGTATAATTAATTGACATTGCATCACAAACAACAACTACACGATATAGAAAACAGTAATTAGAGGAAGATAAACAAAAAGAAGAACAAAGATGAGAATAATATATAAATTAAACCGAAAATAATATACCTAATCCAAAAGGTGATGTAACCATAGACAAAAGTGTAGTATTACTTGACATTACATCCCAAACAACCACTACACGATAAAGAAAAAAGTAAGTAGAGGACGATGAACAAAAATAAGAACAAAGATCAGTACCAAAATATAATTCCGCGAACATGATAGAAAAGTTTAGGTTTAGTTTTTTTGTTTTAGTTATGGGGAGACCATTGGAACTCTAATATTTATAGTAGCAGACGTTTTTTTTTTTCTAGGGTTTCAATTTGATAGGTTTTTTTTTTAACGGGCTTTTGGAATAAGCCCGTCTCATCTAAACCCTAAACCTAAAACACTCTATATCGTTTTGTAAAAACAAATTTCGGTTAGGGTTTTAAAATTTCTAATCTTGATTGTTAGGTTTTGATTTAAAAAGAACTAACTAAAACTTTTAATCAGGGGTATTTTTTCATTAAGGGTAAAACGGTAACCCGGTCTCAACTTAATTTTCGTTTTTGTCTTCCAAATTGCCGATTAAAATTTTTTTTTTTTTAATTAACTAAGGATTAAGGAAAAGATTACAACTAAGGGTATTTTTCATTAAGGGTAACTTAGTAATATTTTTGTGAGATTGAATGTGAGCACTTTCGACTACTGCTTTAATAATTTAGATTATATTTTACTTCATATGTTTAATCCAAAAGCTGAACTTGCAAAAAATAGCGACTTAGAGTTGTTTGGTTTAATTTGTACAAAACTAATATATATATGATTACTTTCATATTAGATTCAATGGGCTAATTTATGTATATAAATTTCATATTAATTAAAAGGTTAACCAAAAAAAAAGATGAGAACAGTTTAAACCGATTACAGTTTACAACACTTTTTCTCTAATAATTCAGTAAACAAAAAAAATTCAAATCCAAGCGTCTAAGAAGAAAAATGTCAAATCCGAGCATCAAAACGTACAATTTTAAAGTGTCAATTTCTACATGTACAAACACACTGTAGTAATTTATAGCCAAACTCAAATAAAATTTAAATTTTACACCCAAATACCATTAAATCTTACCGATTTCAGATTATATATTATCGAAGGCTGGCTTATATAACACATATTTTAGTGAAAAGGCATCGTCTATGAAAATGGCGTTATATATTTATATATATATATATATCCCTCAAACTCGACTAACCATCTTTTGAAACAATCTGAAAATTTTAGGTTTATAGCTATGTTCTGACTTCTGATTATGCTGTCAAGGTACAAATAATTATGTCAACAATGTTATGTCCTTTCCATTTCATGTTTTGATGAACACAAAACCAAAAGACAACTAAGGATAAATTCAACTATGTGGAAGATGACACTTCTGTACATGTCTCTGCCCAAAGCAATCAACATGTCTTTGTTGGAGTGTTGAATTTGTCCCAAGGTCATTGGCAAAATGTTTTACAACATTTTTAAAGGTGTTATTAAGAAATGGAAAAAATGTCAAAAAAATCCCCAACTTTCAAATTGTGCACGAAAAAATCATGAACTTTGAAATACCATTTAAATCCTAAAGTTTTGTTTGACTTTCGGATAAAATGGACAAGTTTCATTGACTTGGCCATTTTGGGCATGATGTTAAATTTCCGTTAACAGAGTTAGATTTTCTGTTAGAGTTTCTGTTCAACCAAAACGACGTCGCTTTGTTATTTTTCAAAACTACGCAGTTTCATTAAAATACAAAATATAAAATTATGATTAAATAAAACAATATGATTAAAATAAAATTAACATTCACAATAATGACATATATATATATATATATATTTTTTGGTAGGAATGACATATATATTTTGGCATCTAATAAATGTAGTCTCTCTTAGTTTTTGGTTTATTAGTCGTAAAATATAACTCATTGTTTTATTTAATAATTTGATTTTTGTATTTCATATTTGTTATTTTAAATAATTATTATTGCATTTAATATTTGTTTTAGTTTTATATTTAATAATTATTATTGTATTTTATCTTAGTTATTGGATTTCTATTTAATGAATAAATACTTTTATTTTTAAGTAATTGCATATATATATATGATATATGTCTATGTGTATATATGTGTATATGTATGTTTTGTTTGTACTTTTAATGAAATGATACAGTGGCTCAATGGTTCATTGTATGATGAAAGTCCTATAGCCCATGAGTTCGTTTCTTTGTGGATTCAATTTATATTTAATTTTTATTTTTAATGAAACGACGTCGTTAGCGTTTTTAAGAAAATGTAAACATTAGCGTTTTTTCTTGAAAATATTAAAGAGATAATTGTCAGATTCAAATTTCAAAAATCGAACTTAAAATGCAAAAATCTTATGTATTTGACTGGTATAATAATTACCAGTAAACCAATTGTTCGACTAGGTAAAAAATATCATAATGAATGTTTCTTTTGACTATAATAAATGTACTTAAACCATTTGAATTCTTATTTTTTTAAGGAGAATTCTCTTAAATACCATGAAATAGGTATTTTTCCAAAAATACCATTACAAGTTTATTTTCCAAAAATATCATTTTCCAAAAATATCACACAATAAAACTAATATTTTTAACATTCAAAATTAAATTTTAAATCCAAAACAATAAACCCTACTCCTAAAAACTATACTCTAAATATAAATAGTCAACCCAAACATTATAAAAATAATTCAACACCTTCAAAAATCAACTTTGTATGTTTATGGTATTTTTAGAAAAATAAAACTTTTGTGGTATTTTTTGAAATAAAAACAAATTGTGGTATTTAAAATAATGGCATCTAAGGGAATTTCTCTTCTTTTTTCAACTTTGACCAGATATATAATTACCAATTTAATTACCATTTGCAATTCTTAAGTTTCTTTCCTTTTTTCAACATGTGTCTTTATTTTGACTATTTAATAAATTCTATAAGTAAATAACTTGACATATTATGATGCTCTAAATTATTCAACATAAACTTAAAAATTACCTTTTCAATGTTTATTTAATTACTATATATATGTAATCAATCTATACAAAAATAAGTACTTATAAAAAAAAAGGTTTAGGATATCACAATAATGGCTATCACCATGAAATTTTTTGTCACATTTTTTTTCATTGCTTTCTTCATCGTATCTTCTCTTCACTGTCATTCAACAACTGCTACTCCTCCAAGCACCAGTATAATTTCACACCCACTTTATAATCATGCACAAGAATTTGTCATTTAATTCTTTTTTTGTTTAAATGAGTGTGTAATTTGGTTTTAATAATTTTTATTTTAATAAAACAGGTTATGGAATAAAGCAACAAGATGTTCAATGTTTCTATGGAACAGAAACATGTCGTCGTAAAGGGAATCAAGGGTGTGTTATATTTTGTCGAGATCATGGTTACTTTTATGGCATGTGTACTTGGGATGCATGTTGTTGTCATGTTCCATATGCAAGCAGAGGTCCAAAATGAAGTAATCTAAATAGATAAATGTTTTTATACATTTGTTAAAGATAAGAGCTATGTATTTTCATGTATTTTGATTATATATAAAGAAACATTACAGTGAAATAAACAAAATTTACCAAACATAGTTAACATTGCATAATAGTAATTACGTTTGTTAATTTTTTTCCTCCAAAATGGCTTTTATTGTTTTTCATTGATAAGATTGTACATTTTCTTAAAGTTTTTGAAACACAAGGATGAAAATCTGCTGGATATAGTGAGTGTTGCGCAGGATGAGGCGCGGTTATGGGCAGCGGCTCAGGTTGAGGATTCAGGGAGCTCTCTGGAGATCCAACGAGCTCCTGTAGATCATAGGCGCCGGTCTGGGATATTGCCTACTGTGGTGACTGGGTATAGATGTTATATATGAAAACAACGATTTCCTACGACCAATTGCGTGAAAAAATGGTAGGAAACAGCCATTTATTACGATAATTCTACCATTTATAATGGTAGCTACCATTTTTAATGGTAGGAAATCGCACATAGGAAACCGTAGATGCTACTAAAATCGCGCCGAAGGAAAAGTTGTAGATATTTTCGTAGGAAACGCGAAGGGTATTTCTGACCGTTTTCTTTCGAATAATACGTAGGAAAATTTTATATGCTCAAATAAATAACTTTACTAAAAACAACAAAATTTTTGAAACTGAAAGCCTGATAACTTAAACTTCATGCTCAGTCATAATTAGAAGCATACTAGTCATGTTTATAATGATTTAAAATCATTTTCCAAAATATTTAACTGATGTGGTATGTCTTACACATTTTTCTATCAATAAAGTACATATATAAAATTTCATGAAAATATTTAACCAACCCGCTTAGATTTAACCAATATATTTAACCAACCCATTTTAGATATCCAAACTTTATTTTAATAAGATTTTAAGTTTATAATAATATTTTCTTTGTCAATTGAGTACTATATAACCATTTTGAAAAATTCAGATTACAACATATTCAAAAAAAGATGAATTTTTATTCTATATATAAATATTTTAATATAATAAATTAAAATAAGATCAAAGAAAGGTAAAAGGAGAATAATAAATGTTTTTAGTTTATTATTTTAAATTAGTTATATAAATATGAGAAATATTAGGAAATCCGAGATCACTTATTCTTCGCTTGCCGCTTCATCTCGTCTCTTTGGGAAGCATTAGCCACAAACATCTACAAAGCTCGATACATAACAGACTGGAATAAATTAATAAATCTTGTCTCCTATCATTTGCAGGATCGTCCGGACAGTTTCCTTTCTAGGACAGTTTCCAAGTAACTGTGTACACTATTTGGCAAGAGTGTTATGGACGAAGTCATGGAGAAAACTCAATCTCAGCTCCTCGTCTATTCAACCCTAAAGAGTTTCTTGTGTGAAATCCTGAGAAGAGGATTCTCGCCTTATCCCTATAGTTTCTTCGTCAAGTTTCGACGTTATAAACAAGATTCGTTCGTGAATCTAAGTTCTCTTGAAGATCTTGTGTAGTCGTCTGTTATTTAGCTTTCGCTCTCCATCGATAAGCAATTTCGGAACAGATTTTCTGCAATTCGAAAAAGGGTGACAGAAATGATGGTCTCAAGTTTTGTCGCTTCTGTTTTATTTTTCAAGTTTCTAAACCAAACGTTTCCCTTGGTAGACAAACCCAATTTTTCTTTGAATTTAATTTAATATCAAATGAAAAAATAAAATAAAAAAGAAGATAGGTCTCATGCTTTTGATTTTAATTAATATCTCAAAATGAGCATACACAAAGACAAGATCCACATAATAAGGAGTAATATAGATCTCAAAGTAGAAAAATATGTGAGGTTAGATATGGAGTTCTTAACGTAGTTTGAGATACTTATGAGAAGAAAAATACTAGTTTTCGAGCATAAGTATATACAAAGACTAAAATCTAAGAAAAACAATAGATAAAATGTTCATCTCAGTAATATATAGCATTTTCACAAAACCCATAACATGTTTAAAAGTACTAAAAATAAAATCAAAATTTGAAAATAATTCCTTTTTGTAGACGAATAGAATATTTATTTCTTCTATAAAACAAGAAACTTCATCATAATGAAATTAGTTTGTAATTAAAAAGTATAATTATTGTATAAACATATTTTTTTAATGTTTTGAAAGTGAAATTAGATTATTTAAACAATTCATTAGAAAAATTATTAGTACATATAAATTAAATTATGTAGGGAACAAATCATGACATAACTTTTTAATGAATGTATGGTTGACAAAAATAAAAGAAAAAACTAATAAAAGAGAAGAGAAAAATAAAAGATGCATAAGCTAAAATTCGATAAGCAGTGACTTGCCGCTTACGGAGTAGCACAAAATGTATATTTTTTTTTCTTTTCGAAATGATAAACAAAAGTAGAAAAATGCATGTTTTGTGTTTTGGCTATAATAACTTAATAAGTATAAAGTGGTTGAACATGATCCAAGTGGGTGATTGAAAACACAATAAACAAATAAAAGTTGTTGAACACTAATTTTCCTATTATTAGTGTAGATCGTTGACTTTAAATCTGAACAGCTTGAGATTATCTGTATCAACGATAATATCATTATTGTTTTAAATCGGACTAAGTTAATTACATTCATTCTCTCTTGGGCAACTAGCTCCATGGATTCTGAGATGGAATCAAAGTTTGTACCTCTCATTACTCAACTAGTCTCTGCCGTAGACGATGAGGATTCTGATTCATACGAGTCAACAGTAATATCATTCATTACTGAAATTATTACTCTGGTCAGTTCAATAGATTTGGATTCGCAACCAGAGGCAGAAGAGTCGGAGCTGATGTCGCTCATTAAGAAAACATTGTATGTCTACAACTCTATGGATTTGGATTCGCAGCCGGAGCCGCTAAGGAAGCTCATATCATTTGTCTCTCATTAATTATATCTCAACTCTATAAAGTTGGAGTCGAAGCTTATATCACTCATTACTCAAATAACATCTCTCGTCAGCTCTGTGGATTTGGATTCTCAGCCGGAGTCGGAGCTGATGTCACTCACCTCTCAAACGATCTCTTATTTCAAATCTATGGATTTGGATTCTCAACCGAAGCTGCTGCGAGAGTTCATACCACTCATTTCCCAAAAGATCTCGCATCTCAACTCCGCAGATTCAAGTTTGGAGCCAGACTTTGATTTGAAACTCTCGTCACTCGTTAATGAAGCATTTCAACTTAAACCGCAGCCAGAGCTCATATCACTCATCCGTCAAATATTCTCCCTCATCATAACAGACTCCGACTCCGACCCGGAGCCGGAGCCAGAGCCGGAGCCTTGGCTAGAGACGGAGCTGGAATCACTAAAATCACTCGTTTCTCAACTAATGTCTAGGAACCGCTTCGTTAAGAAGCCGTTGTCTAGGGGCCGCGACACTAGGGAGCTGGAGTGGGACTCCCTCACACGACTCGTTACTCAACTAATGTCTCTATTCAGCTCAATGAATTTGGATTCGCAGCCGAAACCTGAATCGGAGCTCATGTCACTCACTAAACAAGTAATCTCTCATTTCAACTCTATGGATTCGGATTCCCAGCAGAGGCTCATCTTATTCATTACAAAAAAATTATATCCCTATGAATATACAAGTGGATCGATGAATCTCGAGATAGAGTCGGATCTCACGTCACTCATCCTTCAAATATTTTCTCTGGCCATCTCTATGGATTCAGAGTGGCGATACCTTATTTTGGTATGCCCTCAAGAACAAGTAAGAGTGGTAGAAGGAAAATTTCATGTGACTAAAGAAAAATACTTCAGGTGGAGCACCACAAAGTGGGCATGTCTCCCTTTAAACTGGGAAAAAATCAGCCTAGCAGGAAGATATCGTGACACCCACTTTCTCTGTCAAGGTTGCAATGGCCAGAACCATAAAGAATATGAAAAGGCTCCAGTTGAGATCAGTCACCTTCTTCATCCAAAACATCCCTTGCAGCTTGTCTTGTATCCGGAGTCTGAAGATACGGATAACACAATGCAATGTTATTGCTGTGATGAAGATCTCCACCGGATATTTTACTGTTGCTTGGCTTGTGGTTATGCTATGAATACAGATTGTGCCGAAAAAACACCATCCTTGTCTATTGACTATCCGAAGTGGCATGAGCATCCACTTGCTCTATTTCCAAGACAGACGTCCTTAACTTGCAGCTTATGTGCTTTGACACATTCGAGCTGTCCGTTTTATATGTGTCCCCCTTGTGATTTTGTGGTCCATCAAAGTTGTTTACAATTACCACGTGTCATAAGGATATCTCGCCATCCTCATCGGATTGCCTTTACTTTTTCTTTTAACCAAGGAGCTAGAGATCGGTCTTGTGGTGTTTGTCGCACAAAGATCGACAATAATAATGGGGGATATTCTTGCATCAAGGAAGGTTGTTCGTATGAGGCTCACTCAAAATGTGCCACACAGAGCAATGTGTGGGATGGTAAGGAACTTGAGAACGTGCCAGAAGAAATTGAAGAAGAAGAACTTGGGCCTTTTGTGAGGATAAGCGATGGAATCATACTGCATTTCCTTCATCAACATCAATTGAGACTTGATACGGACACGGGCAGGGATTACAACGAGAATAAGCAGTGCCAAGCATGCTTCATGCCAATCTATTTTGGTAATCTCTACTCTTGTATGCAATGCGATTATATTCTCCACCAAAAATGCGCAGAACTTTCTCGCAAAATACATCACCCAATACATCCACATCTCCTCACTCTAGTGCGAGGTTACAACGGTGCTAAGGAGGACTATACAGAAAGCTGTTCAGGTTGTGATGAGTTGTGCATAGCTGAATTCTTCTATAACTGCAGTGAAACTGGATGTGATTTTCAGCTACATGTACCATGCGCCACAATTTCTGAACCATTGATTCATGAAAACCATATGCATCCTTTATATCTAACATCCAAACCAGGAGAACGGAGAAGATGTTCTGCTTGTAACAATGTACAAAGGTGTGCCACAGAGGAAACATTCAATTGCATCGCGTGCGACTTTTGTTTGTGTTTTGGATGTGCTACTTTACCTCAAAAGGTGAGGTATAGGCATGATAAACATGTGCTCAGTCTTCGTTTTGTGAAGGAGGAGATACGTACCATGACGTATTGGTGTGAAGTTTGCGAGGAAAAAATAGAGCCGAAGGAGCGGCTTTATATATGTGATGAGTATTGTTGTGTCACCCTACACGTGAAGTGTATGCTTGGGGAGGATTTGTACATGAAGCCTGCATCAGTGTGGAATTACTTCAGTCAAATAACAGATGTTCTACCCAACAATCATATGTCTCGACCTATTTGCTCAAACTGTAAGAAACGCTGTCCAAACAAAACAGTTATCAAATATGATGGATTAATATTTTGTCGCCAAGATTGCTTTCGTGATTATTCATTCTGGCACTGAATGGTAGTGAGGTTCGTCAACGGTAACGGTTCAGAAAGGCAAGAAAATTAGAATATGTGAGTCATGAGTGTGATTTAGATGTTGTTGGCATGTCTAATTTTAGTTTTTTTTTTTTTTTTTTTTTTTTTGCTCTAGTCTAATAAACTTTGTATTCTATGTATTTGATTAGTAAAGATACTTACTGTATATGTTAAATATTTTGCTTGGCATCAGTGGTGGTAACGCTTATTTTTTGAAGCATTTATGTTTTAGTCTCTTTGCTTCCACATTAAACATTTTTAGTCACATTTATTGATGAAATTTTTTTCCATACGTAGTTGATAACGGTCCATTAATTAAAATTTCGTTAGATCAGAAAGAAGATCTCTTTCGGCTTTGAGATTTGATAAACGGTTTTAATGTTTTTTTTTTTCAATCAAAAACATACAAGATATTAAACGTTGAAACAAAAGGTAAATCGAGTATATTTTCGGCTTGGATTAAGTAGTTTTTGGGAAAATTCCATAAAAAATCTCCATGTAATTTTAATTTGGACGTTTAATACCCCATGTTTTTGGGGTTTCGATTATAGCAAGATGAGGTATGTCGATTTATGCTTTTAGGGTTTCGATTTCTGGGGTTTGTTCTATGTGATTTCTGGGTATGATTTCTGGGTTTAGGGTTTGTGTGAATCAATTTTAGGTTCGTGAGAATCAATTTTAAAATTGATTTTTGGGTTTGATTTTTCGGTTTTGCGATCTAAAATTGGGTATTTTTTGTGACTAATAATTGCTTATGTCTTCTTATACAGTGGTTTCGAGTATCTCAAACTTAATATACATTACGGAGGAGATTCATTAATCAAGGATGATGTGTTTGATTATGTTGGAGGGTCTGTCGAGGATGATAATATTCCTAAAATATTGTTAGGGTTAATTTATTTTTTGAACTGATTTTGGTAAGCGTTTGTTATAAAATATATTTTGGAATCCTATAGAAATTTAAAAATTATGTTATAAAATATATAATTAAGATTGAGAAATATAATCTTCATGTAAACAGATTTTATTATGATTACTTTATGAATATATATTACAAGTGTTTTTAAAAGGATTTACAAGTGTTTTTAAAACAAGGGGTTTTAATTAGAAGTTTACAAAGGATTTTTAAGTGTTTACAAAAGTTTTTAAAGGTATTACAATTTCTTTAAAATGGTTTTTAAGGATTTACAAGGGTTTTAGAAGTTTACAAAAGTTTTAAGGGGTTTAAAGGGATTTACAAGTGTTTATCAATGTTATAAAATGATTTACAATGCTTTAAAAAGGTTTACTCAAGTTTTGAAAGGTTTTGGATGACTTTTAAAAGATTTACAAGGGTTTTTAACGGATTTTTTAAGGGACTAGGTTATTAACCCGCGCGTATATATCAATTGTTTCCAAGTAGGTATATAGATTCATATAATATGCAATAGTACTATAATTTTGATTATTTCAAAAAAATATTATTTCATTTATATTTAAGTAGCATTTATCTTTTTAACAAAAATATTTTGGATAAAAATAAATAAAATTGTATATTGATAAAAAAAAAACTGTTACTTGAATCATTCGTTGTGGTCTGTCTTTTTCTTCTTGCTATAACCATTTTGGACAAAACTTCGTCAAAGTACTCACCATGGTCTATATGGTGTTTGATCCACACAACAACTGTCTTCTCACTCATCTTTTTTCTTATCCTAATCCCATTAATGTTTCCTTCAATGTCTCAGTGTCTCTTTCCTCTTATCTTATATGACCTTCAAATTTTCTCCACCTTTTCTTTTTCCTTCTTGATCTTTGCCACACACTTCTTCATTGTCACAAGCATCTTCGTCAAAACGTTAACCACTGTTACCACATACTTTTTATGCTTCTCCTCAATTTTTTCAGACAGGGATTATAATCAGTTTAGTATTGTTGAATTCTCTCCCTTTGATCTCTTTGATCATACCTCGATACATTTCATTTGTCATTGCAATCTCCTTGAGCAATGCTTGTTCGTCAAAATTCTTAGCTTCTATTCTCTTCAACTCACCCTTCACTCTAACACTTGTTCAGCTACTTATCCAGCAACCTCTCTATCTCCTATATTTTTTTATCTTTACTTCATTACGTGCTATCTACCGTTTCTTCTAGATCTAAAATAGTGGATTCCCTCGATGCAACATCTTTACCGGTCTATTGCATTCTCTTCTCCTCCTCCATATTGTACTCCTCTCTGGCTTATTTTTAATCTATATTAGCTTCTTGATTATAGCTTTTGATAACAAACAAGTTGATTTTTTTTGGTCTTGGTTCAGCGTCTTTATGCATATTGTTTATTTAATATAAAGTATTTATATGAACTTAAGAGACGTTCATGATTAAGGGTTTTACTTTCTTTTTTATAATTTCCAGCAACACACAAAAGAAAAAAATATTTTTTAAAAACACACTAAAAGTCACAAATTTACCTTTACTTGGCGTAACATTTATATCCAATATTATATATTCAGATTATAAGATTCATATATTCCATATATTTTTCCGAAAATTTCTATTTCTAATTGTTCTATGTCTTATTTTTTCTTTTTATTAATATCTTTATATAAAATATATTAGAATTTAAAAATGTTAATTAATGAGATATAAAAAAATGTCAATATGTGAGATGTCTACTCCCTATTGGTCACTTAAAATCCTTTGTGGATGTCTTTAGGAGCTTATAACTTCAACTTTTATATAGTATAGACTAGGTTTTGAACCCATGCTACGCGTGGGTATCTATATATATAAAGTTAGTTTTTTCTCTCTTCTCATGATGCCACCTAAGCATCCACCTAAACCACATTTTTGTTTAAACATTAAAATAAATTTAAAACATTCATTTAGTGCATATTTATGTTACTTATTTAATTAATAGAAAGTTTATATACATAAAAATAAATTATGTAAAAAAAATAAAATGTTAAAATAAAAAAAACAATACTTTAATTTTTTTATTAGTGGTAATAATATAATTCAACTTTCATTTTAAATTGATCATAATTTAATATTTTAAATATGTTACTGAGTTTTAGAATGGAAGTAAAATTTAAATTTATGGTAGACTAAAACAGCATTTATGTAATTGTATATATTAAATTATAAAGAGGAAAAATAAAATGAAAGTGAAATATTAGTTTATAACATGATTAAAAAGAAAAAAATGATATTTCATAAATTGAATCAAATGTTTTTAATCCAAATTTGAGTATTGAAAGATAATAATTAAAGAGAAAATAATTATAATATTTTTTGAAAATCAATTAAAAAATAATAAAATATCACAATATAAAAAAAAAAATCAACAAAACAAAATTATAAACCTCCCGCGCGGAGCGTGGGTCAACTGCTAGTATTAAATATATTTTGGTAAAAACTATTTATAATTGACGATTAATGAATTAACGATAAATTAATGATTGACTACTTGGAACAATGTTGTCCATCTAAACTCCTAAACTCGAAATTACCTTTCTTACTTTCTACCATAACTTAGTTTTATACTTTTAGAATACTCATAATAAATTTGATAAACAAACAAACAAATTAACTAACCAAGATATCCATAAATACTAAAAATATATAAAAAAGCAAATAAAGATTATCATATTATGGTTTTTACCTTAGCATCCTCTGCCTAACATCATCTCCAATTAGTTCATTGAAAGATTTTTCCGAACAAATATCCAAATATAGACAATACTCCTTTTTCATAAACCAAATAAACAAAAAAATTACAATTGCACAAAACAATCAAAACACACCAAAATAATGCAACACTATAAAAACACAATTATGACCTTGAATGGAATCACAAAATCATAAACGGACGATAGGAAACTCAAATTGTATTAAAAAAATCGAAAAACGCAAATACAAAGAAAATCATATTATCAAAAATACTACTCCACAGAAAACAAATCATAACCACAAAACTAATGAAACCATATACTAATGTAAAGGTCGAGACTCTATATTTTTTTTTTTTTTGGTCAAACTAATTCGATTACTTGAGGACGGTTAAAAAACGATTACAGTCCCTGGGAGGGGAGAGAATTAGCCGCAAAGAGAGCGGATTTAGCTAAAGAGTCTGCTATAGAATTTTCTAATCGAGGAATAAAGCTGAAGGAGATAGGGGGCAACAAGGCCCGGAGACATGAAATGTCTAAGAGGATCGCTTTAAGCTCTTTTGAGCAAGAGTGCGAGTTGACGAGGTGGATCAGAGTTTGGGAGTCCGAGAAGATTGCTAAGCTTGGTGCCAAGTTGAGGTGTTGGTTAGCATGCATAGAAAGGAGGGCCTCCCTTAAAGCTAAGGCTTCTGCGATAAGGGCTGATGTGACAGACCGTCGAGTGGTTGAGAAACAGAGGGGGGAGGTACCTTGTGGGTAACGGATGAACCAGCCAAGGCCGCACAGACCAGAGCTTGCATTCCAGGCTGCATCAACAAAACAATTAATGGCTTGGCCTTGTGGTTGCAGGTTTATCACAGTTCTGTGGGAGGGGGGAGATTTTGGGATAGCCAGTTGAGCCGCTTGCCATTCTTTTGCATCCGTGAGAGCCTTAAGGACAGTGCTCTGTTCGGAAAAATTCTTGTCTTCAAAGTGGAGGGAGTTGCGGGCCTTCCAGAGATGCCACATAATCCATGGGGATAGTGGTGAAAACGAGAGCCCAGTGGGCGGTAAAGCATTGGACAGAAGTGCTCTAGGTAGCAGGTCTGTGAATGATTGGAAATTTTCTTGCAAAAAAGGTCGGTGGAGGGGAGTCAAACTCCAAACCTTTTGAGCAAACGGGCAGTTGAGGAATAGGTGGAGTTCATCTTCATGACCACCACACCGTTTGCAAGTCAGGTCTAGTGCCAGACCTCGTTTTGCTAGGTTGTTTCCAAGAGAGAGAGCCCCCCTAGCAGACTTCCATAGGAAGTTTTTGAGCTTTGGGGCTGCTTTGATATGCCAAATATTTTTGTTCCAGTTGAAACTATCCTGAACCATCGGCATAGGAGTTGAGGTTGTTCTTGCTAGCCGATATCCTGATTTGGTGGAATAGATTCCTGAGGCTTCGGGTAGCCATATCAGGGAGTCGCCAAGGTTTAGCTTGCTGGTATTGATGCCTAGAATAATGTCCTCATACTGAGGTAAGACGTTCCTAATGGCTACCGGGTTCCAATCAGTAGAATTTGGGAACATGAGATCCTTAACCATGAAGGTTGAGGTTGGGGGGGAAGGAGGCCCCATTGGTCTGAGGGGGTGAGCAAGGGACAGCCAAGAGTCGTTCCATACACTAACTTGTTGGCCATCTCCAATTGACCAGCCTAGCCCTTTTAAGAAGAGGTCTCGGCCTATGAGTATATCTCGCCATCCATGAGAGGCCGCCGATGGGAGGGAGCAATCGTGGAAGGAGCTGTCATGACAGTACTTGCCGAGGAGGGTTAATGCAAGCAGAGAGTCTGGGTTATGAATTAGCCGCCAGCCAATTTTTGCTAGAAAGGCATTATTGAACGCTTCTAAATCTTTAAAACCGAGTCCACCTTCGAATTTGGGAGTAGTGATTTTATCCCACGCCACCCAGCTCATCTTCTTCTTCCCTGGTTTCTCGTCCCACCAGAACCTCATGAGGACAGTTTGAATTTGGTTGCATAGGGAAACCGGGAGCTTGAAGCACGACATGGCATAAGAGGGCATGGTGGAAAGGATAGATTGCAAGAGGACCTGTTTTCCTGCTCCCGAGAGGAATCTAGACGTCCAGCTGTGTGCTCTTTGGCGAATCTTGTCCACTATGGAGGAGAAGATATCTTTTTTTTTCCTTCCAAATAGTTCTGGTAGTCCAAGGTATTTACCTAATCCGCCTTCTTGATTGATGCTCAGAGCTGCTTTAACTCTGACTTTTGTAGCAGGGGAGGTCTTCGCAGAAAAGGTTATAGCCGACTTTTGTAGGTTGATGCTTTGTCCAGAGACCAGCTCATATTGTTTCAGGATGGTGTTTAGGGCTAAACAGCAGCTGGGACTGGATTTGCAGAAGAACATGGTGTCGTCGGCAAAGAGGAGGTGGTTGATAGGGGGACACGCTCTAGCCACTTTAATTCCTGGAAGAGTTCCCTCTTCTTGTGCCTTAAGACAGAGCCGCGAGAGAACTTCGGTGCATAGGATGAAGAGGTAGGGTGAGAGGGGATCCCCCTGTCTGAGGCCACGCGACGGGATGACTTGACCCTTTGGCGAGCCGTTAATCAGAAATTTGTAGGAGACAGTCTTAACGCACTCCAGTACCCAAGAAATCCACTTTTGGTGAAAACCGAGTCTTTGGAGTACCGCGTGTAGGAAGCCCCATTCTATCCGATCGTATGCCTTGCTCATATCCGTCTTGACGGCCATTGAACAGAACTTTCTTGCTTCTGAGGTCCTTAAGAAGTGAAGAACCTCATGGGTGATAAGGACGTTGTCCGAGATGGCTCTGTTTGGGACAAAAGCTGACTGGTGAGGGGAGATGAGATGTGAAAGGATTGGTTGCAGCCGCTTTGTGTGGATTTTCGCGATAATTTTGTAGTGAACACTACAAAGAGCTATAGGTCGGTAATCACCCACTCTTTTTGGTGCAGTTCCTTTTGGTATAAGTCTCACATGCGTTTCGTTGTGCCTGGGATTCAAAGACTCCGTTTCAAAGAAAGAGCGGATTTCATTTGAAACATCTCCTCCAATAGCGGGCCAGTAAGCTTGATAGAACTTAGCAGAGAAGCCATCGGGTCCCGGAGCTTTACTAGGAGCAATAGAGAAGACTGTATCCTTAATCTCACTGTTGGATGGGAGCTTGATTAAGGTCTCGTTCATAGTCTCAGAAATTTTTGGGGAGAGGGTCTCATCCACCAGCCTGAAGTCACTATTACCATTTGTTGTGAAAATTGATTGGAATACCCGAGAAATAGTAGCAGCAATTTGGTCTTCTTCGAACACTTCCTCTCCTTGTTCATTCTCTATGACTGTGAATGCGTTGCATGCCCTTCTACCTCTTGTGACAGCGTGAAAGAAAGAGGAGTTACGGTCGCCGCCTTGGAGCCAGTTTATTCTACTGCGTTGCTTCCAGAAACTCTCTTCTTCTTTGTAAGCTTTTTCCAAGGCCGAAGTGATTGACTCAATGAGAGGGGGATTGGGTAGAGAAGCCGATAAAGCTTTTTCCAGATCATCTTGGTGAAGTTTAATGGCCTTCATACTATTTTTATGGTTGTTCTTCATCCATTCCAGGATCTTTCGGCGACAGTGGTCCAGTTTTGGGATCGTGGATGACGATTGGAGCTGAGACCAAGTGCTTTTAATGAGGTTTGAGACTTCCTCATTCTCAGTCAGATTTCTATCAAACCGGAAGAGGCCTTGGCGACGACGTTTCGCATCGCTGAGGAAAGTCACCAGGGGGCGGTGGTCAGAGCGCTCAAACCGGAGATATTGGCAACGTCCCGTGGGGAACTGTTCAAACCATGAACAATTCGCCATAGACCTGTCAAGTCGCGACTGGACAGAATGGGTGTAACGGGTTCCCCTCCAAGATAGGTGGTTGCCAGAATGTTTAAGGTCCCATAATCCGAGTTGGGAGACGAAGCTTCTAAAGGCTAGAAAAGATCCTTCCGAGCGCAGTGGACCGCCTTTCTTTTCAGAGTTGTCGAGGATCTCATTGAAATCGCCCAAGATCAGCCACGCAGAAGACTTTGTTGAGCCTAGAGTGGTCATAGATTCCCAAAATTGGGTTCTGTTCCCTGAGCAGGGTGCACCATACAAGAAGGTGATGTCCGAGCGTTGCTGCTTGAAGGTTGTTGCCGTGTCAATGAAGTTTGCAGAGGAGGAGTTGATATCAATTTGAACCCCATCCTTCCACAGGAGAGCTAAACCCCCACTAAGTCCAATGGGAGGGACAGTGAAGAAGTGAGGGAAATGAAGCTCATTGCTCAAGGTAGCTATTACAGAGTCTGAATTTTTAGTTTCCATAAGAAATAAAACGTCTGGGGAAATAGTTTTTCGTATTTCCTTAAGACGACGAACTGTCCAGGCACTACCTAGACCTTGACAGTTCCAGGAAACAAAGACTAAGGGAGAAGGTGCCGCGGTGTCCGAAAATCCGCCACGGGGACACGAGATGTTGGAAACTGGGACGAAGAGGCGGAGAGGATAGGCACATCCGCCAGATTCTGAAACGGTTGGGAGGACTCAGGCACGAGTTTCTTTTTAGCTTTAGTTTGGGCTCGTGTGGTATGGGCCTTTCTAATGCTAATCCCCTGGATTGGGCTTTTGTTTCCTCGCGTCCGGGTTGTACCTTTAATTGTTCTTCGTTTGGGGGCCTGGCGAGAGGGTCCATCATCCATTTTGGCCCTTTTGGTTTGTTTGGTTTGTGTTTGTTTGGTTTGTGTGGCCTTTTTCTTCTTGGTGGGAACCTTCGAGGCCGGTAGAGGTTGACTTAGTCTCTCAAAGGGTGAAATGGTGCGATCTCTCCCCGCATTAGAGTTAGATCCAAGCCTTTGGAAAACAGATGCTGGTGAGGTTCCCTGTACTTGGTTCTGAGGAGCTATCGGGGTGTTTGCCTCCACATAGTGTACTTCCACCTCTTGTAGGTTAATGGAGTTATCGCTATGGATACGGGCTTGTGTGTGCCTCGTGTCCAGTGGCTCCTCAAGGCGATCAAGGGCCGAGATTCTCTCCTCAATTGTCTGAGTCCGGTTCTTCGAGGTGGGGGTGGGTGGAAGGGAGATCCTTTCTCTTGTTGGCCTTGGTGGGGGAGTAGGAGTGTTGCTATGACTCTGCATCCGAGAGGTAAAGGATCTAGTTTTCTCCTGGACAGGTGAACCATCCCTTTGTCGTGATTGGCGAGGGATTTGATGCCTAACGTCTTTTGGGGATAGTTCTTTCAGGGCATCTCTTGGATTCTGTAGTCTCAAATGGATTGGTCCTCTGGGGTTGGTTCCAGAGTAACGAAGCGAGTCTTTCACATTTGAGCTTACGTCTAGGCGGCTTCTCTCGTTGTCGATTCGCTGGGAGGAGGTTCCCGACTCTCTAAAAGGAGTCTTCCGATCATAGGCAGGTGGTCTTCTTGGAGGGGAGGGGTGATTACGGATCCACTCCCTGAGATCTTTTGTTGAAACTCTGCCCCCTCTATCATCTTCCTCAAGGGATGATCGAGAGCGTTTTCGGTCATCTTGTCTCCGCTTATCTTCCCCTAACCGATCAAGGGTTTTCAGTTGGTTGGTTCCAAAAGGCTTGGTGGTCCTTTCTTCGCGTTCGGAAAAGAAAGGGCAGTGCTTCTTTTCATGTGACAAAGAGAAGCAGGCAAAGCAGTGTTTCTCCAGTTTCTCGTAGACAAAATCTACTGTTTTTAGATCTCCGGATGGGAGGGTGATTTCCAAATTCATTTCCAAATGGTGTAGACCGTTGATTCCAACTCGTATCCGGGCTTGGGGGACGTCAGCCTCAAAGTAGTGGCCGAGGGCATTTCCAATGGTACTTAGAGTCTTTTCAGTTTCATGGAGAACCGGGATTCCTATTACTTCAATCCAGAAGGTGATTTCCGAGGGGAACTCCTGGGAGACAATGGGTTCCCATTTCTGGAGGATTAGCATCCATTGCTTGAAGTGATATGGTCCTTTTCGGAGCACCATTTCAAGATCTTCTTCATCGATAAACCGGAACAGGAAGGTATCTCGGCCTAAATCGCGGCCAGTGACCCGTCCTTCCAAATTCCAGAATTGAGGTAAGAAGTCGATGACAGCTCTGGTCTTCTGGACGTGTGGGTTGGTGACTTTGCCAATAAGTGAGAGTCTGTGGGCTTTGATGATAGCTGAGTTATCTTCCGCCGGGATTTGCACTAGGGAGCGTCTTACTTGTTTGCTTGGGCCAACGGGCCATTTAGCTTTTTCCGATCTGGAGTATCGGTGAGCCATAGAGGGCAAGAGCAAAGGATTCGCAACTGTGGATTGACTTACGGTGTTCGGGGAGAACCAAAAGCCAAAGGTAGATTTGAAAAAGGTCAACGCACAAAAAGACTTCAAGGGTATCGGACGAAGAAGGACCTACCAGGTGGTTGGAGGAGTAAATGCCCTCAAAGGTGAGGTAAGGGAGAGAAGAGCTCTATAAAACCTGCATAAAGCAGTAGGGGAATTGAAGGAGACCGCTAGAATGCTTCCTTCTCCAAGTCAGCGTGGGTGTTAAAGGTCGCCTGGTGAAGAGCTAGGTCAACCATCATACAAAGATGGATAAGTACAAGCTCCCGGTGTTGGAGTGGGGAGGGAGGCTCCGGGGTCGGAGAATTCCGGTCAAAAAAATTCCAAAACCAGCAAAAAAGAGTAATTCCGGTGGGCGCTTCGCCGAGAAAGCAGGGAGAAAGGACGGTGGTAAAAGTAGATGCGGCGGAAAAGGTGCTCAGAAAAAGTGGTTGGGACTAGTCTCGGGACGTGAGCCTGAGAGAGAATTCAAACCTCGTACGGAGTTATGGTCGCTGGAGTATTTATGTCGAGACTCTATATTTATAATTGAGTTTTTAGGGCTAAATGTCTTAATTATCCAACTTGATTTTACTTTCTAGAAATAGAAATTTACTCAAACACAATATATACAATAAAATTTCAAGTATTTTAATTTGCAATTAAAAGCATCTCTATCCATAAGAACCTGAACCTCGAAGAGTTTTTTTTTTTTTCAACGAAAAACTTTATTGATTAAGAATTAATAATGTCAGCATACAATTGATTCTGCAACCATCGAGGTGGACAAACACCCGTACATAAGAAATTGCTATCTAGAACACCAAACTTAGCAAGGAGATGGGCAGCTTCATTACAACAACGCTTAGCAAAGACAAAATGTATATCAGAAAAAGAAATAGTCCATTGTAAGATATCTCGGCAGATCCCTTCAATTAAGGCATTGTGAGTTTTCCCTTGAAGCATATCTATTAAGTCAGAACAGTCACTCTCCAAAAAGACTTGGCGATATCCTCGAATCCAGATTTGTTGTATCGCAGCTAGGAACGCCTTTGCTTCTGCTTCAATAGGTGTGGATGAGTTTGGAAGAAGAGAAGATCCCCAACATCTAGGATTACCGTCATTGTCTCGTAAAATCCAACCACAAGATGTTCTGTAAGTATAAGGATCAAAAGCTGCGTCTACATTACACTTCATAAAAGGCAAAGGGGGTCTACTCCAAGTAATTTTATGAGACTGAATTGGGATATGATTAATATTAGATGGGATCGCTGGAGTTGTAGCTGTGATCCATTCGGAAACATCTGCTTGAGCTTTAATAATAGTATGATAGATACTTTGTTGAATTTGG